TCCTCTGTGTTGAAGCTGCCAGCATTAAGCTCTCTTGTGCCCAGGTTTGTTACAGTGCCAGCAAAGTCCCTCAAACTTCTCTGAAAGCTGACCTTTTCTGGCCTTGAATCCAGCTGACTGTACCAACCTTGGTACCTCTGTGCTGGACTTAACGTAGGATTCAAATTCAAATTCTTCCTGCATTGTAGAGGGGTGTGCTTGCTTCACTTGTATCTTTAGTTGTGGACTGTCCAAGGCATCTACAAACTGATCTCTCAGCAACAACTTGAGGAGATTGGGTGGTGCAGTTGGGTAGGCTTTGTGTGCCATACTTTCCAAGTCCTGTGCCAGCTCTCCCCTTTAGCATGGACTCTCGTCCTAAACCTAGCCCTGTAGACTTCTGACTGATTCTGTGTTCCATACCTGAGTTCTAGAGCCACTACCAGTGCTCTATAGTTGTGTCTGTCGTCTGCTGACAACTGTCCAAGTACTTCTAGTGGTTGTCCCTTCAAGCTAGTTGCCAGATATACTGCTTTCTGCTCCTCTGTTCACCCATTCATTTCTGCCAGTAGCTCAAATTGTGCTCTATATGCTTCCCACAGTGCCTTCCCATTGAATTCCTGTGGCTTCCTTTGTACTAGATCACTCCTATTACTGACATTCATATCTGGGATGTAACTTCTAACAGGACTGAAGATGTTTGCATTAGTGTTTAGCTGCAAGGTCTGGAAGGGGCTTGCCATTGTCTGGGGCTGATTAAGTAGATGGTTAATGTATCCTCCTTGTGTAAAAGACAATAAATCGTCCTTTAATGTATCTAATTCACTTTTAAATTTACTAATGTTTTCCGTTTGTACTTCTTGTTTCCTTTCTTGTTCCAGTTGCCACTGCTGTAGTCTCTCTTCTTGTTTCTTTTCTTTTTCCTCCAACAACTGCTGTAATTTCTCTTCTTGTTTATTTTCTTTCTCCTCCAACCACTGCTGTAATCTGTCTTGTTTATTCTGTTGTTCGAGCTGCCACTGTTGCAGGTTTTCTTGCCACTGCTGTTGTCTCTCTTCTTGTTTCTTTTGCTGTTCTTGTATTGCTGCCATCAAATCTGCTAAGCTGTAGTTTGATTTACCACTTCTCGTTTCCATTTTTTTTCCGTCCCACTCTCTGACACCAATTTGTTACGTCTCCGTTTGTTAGTTAATTTTCCGTAAATTTCGTTCCAACGAAACTTTAGCGACGCAAGTCCTTTCTTAAATAAAACTGGTTTATTCTTTCTGAATACAACTTTGCGATACACTTAATTTCAACAGTCGAGCTATAACAAACGCTATAATTCACAATGAACATCTCATGTGCTCGACTCAACAATACTCTGTCCGCAGATCAATTACACATTGTGACCGTCTTATATATATACAAGACTAACGCATATTTAGTAAACGCTAGAGCATTCATGAAGGAACAGGATATTTCTAGAAGTCAATGATGTGTTACTAGCGTCATCTGACTTCTGCTGTCGTAACAATACATTGAATGCTACTCTAGAAATTAAGATGAAGAAATATGTCATAGACTCACTAATGGATATCTCCAGTGAATTAATTCATACAAACATCATAAAAAGTTAAAAGTTATTGTTTTTTTGTCTTCAATCCAACTGCAAAAATTCTGGATTCTAGTGGGAAGAATTCACCAGTTACGTACAGTTTGTAATACGGACTAAAAGCATTATATGAGGCAGATATTAAAATTGCAGCTGTAATATCAATCCTGAGACTTTTTTCTAGAAATTATATTTAAAGAACTAACATACATTTCAACTTTTTGTGAGTAATATCAATTAGAAAATTAGACAGAATTTTAAGTACTGATCAATAAATTTAAATCTTATAAAAAGAAATGTGAACTTGCTTTTCAAGATTATGTATGGGAAGAAAAAGTATATTTTATAACCAACGTTTTGTTGACAACTATTAAGTGAAAGATGTTATAGGAGGTAACAGAAGATATCAGATGGCATTTATTTGAATAATTGCACTGTTTCAATGTCACTGGTTGTATTGTAACGGATCATAGAATGAGAAATGTATAGGGAAAATTAAAGAAATAGGGCATGATAATCCAAGTAAAGGAAGACAGTGTATGTATATTGTGTACAGAAGCTATTGATTTGGTGCATAACAATCTTACAGAAAATATTTTTAAGCATATTATCTGAGAACATCATGATTATATAGATGGCCATGAAAATCCAAACAATACCAAGAATGAGTTACAATTATTTGAGTTAATCTAAAAATACAAGTTTTCTACATAAAGAAAAATTAAAGCTCAGATTTTCATCCTTAGTGATGAAGTCTCAAATTGAGGTTAATAGTGCAATGTGCAAATGAGTTACCCATGTTACATTCACAAAATAATTTCATCCTTTATAAATTGTTGGTAAGAATAGCCAAAGGACATAGCTGACAATACAAGAGTTGCACAGTGTAAAGATCAGCCAGTCTTTAGTAAGGCAAGAGAAGAAGTGTTGGTATTATTTGTTATCTACCTATCTATCTATCTATCTGTGTCTGTCTGTCTATCTATATATATATTAGGGTAGAGTGAAAAGTGGGGTGAAAACTAAAATTTTCGATAATCAATTTCTCCAGGGATGCAAGAGATGTGTAATGATGACAGTAATTCATTGTTAACTATTTTTATCCTTAGCATTGGTCTTCTAATTCCGCAAGTGCATTGAATATTTATATGTGAATTCAATAAAACTGCAGTTCATTTTAAGGCATTAGTTGGCATTTGTGCACAACTCTTTGCTAAATTCAATCATTATGTGGCTGAAAATACCCAGAACCCATCACGAGTTCACATGTAGCTATTGCTTTCCAATTTTTCCCTTGAATACGTTTGGCCCCTGCATGCAGCATACATACCATCCATTGTAGAGGCCTTCCTAAATGGTTTTCTAGGAGACTAAGCACACCAACTGTCACTGTACCATCACAGTTAACAGGGATAAGTGTCTGCATTAAAGCCACTTTCTTCTAGAAGTGAGACCATTGAATCAAATATGTCCTTATTGCTTCCAGACAGTGGAGTAATATGGCCAAGGTATATTGACTGTGGTTCTTGAATAAGCATAATATGCTCTTCTGTATTAGTTTTAAGATAATACTTAATTTCCTGTTTCACCCTTATTCTTGTCTTATCCTTTCAATCATCAAAGTACAGTTCCTTACACTGCAATGATTTGATACTATTTTGTGCCTCTGTCCTCTGCTTCTTTCTTTCTCATCTCAGCTTGTGTCTATCTGTTATGCACAAGATGTCTTCATTGTGAATGATGCCAAGATCTTGCATCACAGAATTAGAGATGGCTTCTGCAGAATTATCCAAAACACCATACCGATCACAAGTCCTAGCCAGCACAGGCATACTAGTTCTCACCTGATGTGATGTAGATGAAGGTTCAATTATTCTACCAGCAAATAAGTTTGAAGTAATCCATGAGCCAAAATTGTTAGACTTAACATTTGTTTCTGATTCAGATTATGAAGAGTTCTGAAACAATTCTGCCATGCTCGTGCTTGCTTCATCATCCATTATCCTCTTCTGACTTTTATTTTATAATCATAGCGCTTTCACAGTTTTTTTTGGTTAGTACTACATCTACTCCTCCAATGTCCATTTGTCTTTGTGTTCACTGGTTGTTCATAAATCCTTTCAGGAATAGGAACTCAATGAGTTGCATCACATTTGCAAGATGTTGAAGTGCAATGGCAAGCAGCTATAACAAACAATTTCATTGTTTCCTTGAGGAAGTTCTGCTACTTAGAATCAAAGGTAGGTGTTCCAGCTCTCTTAATTTATTTCATGAAAGCCTGATACTTGTCATGACATTTTAGTATTTTTCTTATCAAGCTATTATAAGAAATGATTGGGATTAAGGCTTTTTTACCATATGTCTTCTACATCCAAAGCAAATTTCTCACCAATTTCAGCAACCTTTTTTCTCAGCATCTGATGGTAATAACTTCAATTTTAGTTTTATATGCTGATAGTGTGAAATAAAATCTGCAATTGTTTGTAGAACGTTGATTTTCAATGGTCATGCATCAAATCCTGATACATGTGAAAATGCCAACATATGTTTATTTTTAGCTCATCTTGTGAAACTCATGGTTTATGTAGTAATAAAGGAAAGGGAAAAGAAATTTAGCACCACAGAAAGATGACAATCCCCCTTCAAATCATGTATTACTCACAACTAAGCATTGACTCACAAAATGCATTGCATCCATGCAGTCGCTAATAGCTCCAGGAAGGTTGGGAACTAGAACATTTTTATAGCTAGCTACCCATAAAAAATGGATTGCATGTCTGGACAGTGCTTCCTAAACATGAAAAATGCAAACAACTAATGCAATTTTACTAGTAACCATGCGAGACAGGTTGAATGTCAGAACATTAATTTCTAGGTATAACTATCAGAAACTTTAAGCATCTTGCGGAGCCAGTAAATGAATACAAAGCTGAATATTATTTTACACATTTATTATAAATATACATATACAACTATTATACCCATGGAGAACTTGATATGAAGCAAAAAAAATTTGGTGTCACCCTAACACAAACACACATATATATAATAGGAAAAATCTCTACAAGATTAGATGGTGTTTTCTTTAAGAGAAATCAGTTTAATAAATAACTTAGTATTTGTAATTCAGCTCCTAAGTCATTTTTGCTCTCACTTTAAGGTTCCTAAGTATTGGATGAGTTTACAAGTTATGACTCACTTTCTGAATGTAAATATAAATTTTACTTGCTCACAATTTATTGAGAAAAAAAGTGCATAATGGTAACAAACAACTAGCATTAAAAGAAAGGAAAAATACCTGCAGTGGACTAGAAGAGGTCCTCTGTCTGAAACATAGTGCTCATTAACCCGTTTAATAAATCGAAGGAGCCAAGATGGCTGCTCTGGAGCTAGAAAGTCTTTCCACATAACAAAGTGAAAATGAAGAATTTCCCGCTCTTCTGGATAATCATCCTTCAGTGAAAATGACCAATACATGTAATAAAATAAATCTTTAACATGTCCTCTGATCAAACCAGTCTGTATTTTTCATGACAATTTGATAAGCATTGTCTTTTAATATTTTTGTAATGAATAATTTAAACAAGTTTTGGGCAGTGCTTTACAACATTTTAATGAAATATATGAACTTGATATCTTTAAAACAGGTTTTATATATTTTAATACATTTTTTTTTCTAACTAAAGATAAAGTTTAGATCTTTTCCTAATTATTCCAATTTTAAAATGTCTTGCTCTAACTGATTTTTGCAGTTATTCAATTTTAATCACTTCTGACCCAAAAAAAAATAAAGTTAATTTTTTTAAAGTAGTGTTTATAACAAATAAAATACTTGCAGAGATTAATTTAGTTTATAGTAACATGCAGTTGCACTGCATATTAAAAAAACAAACAATGGTTAATAGTTTACAACTGTTATACATCTAAGCAGAGTATATACATACATTCTTCAGAATTAATATCTATAATCTGTGCTAATTTTCTTACTTTACAAAAGCATTTGTGTTTCAGTATAATTTCAAGACATACCTTTGAATACTGGATGTGAAGTCTTCGAACAATGTAGTCAGAATACTTCTTAACAGTAATAACATTCACAACAAATAGATTTTCAATTTCCTTTGGCTCATCTTCATTCCAGTACTGGGCACACTTTATCTGAAGATTAATATCATATTATATAGTTAAACTTGTCAATAAAGTATTGCATGTACAGTAAATAACTTCTTTTTAATAAATCTATAATAATGATAATAATATGAAAAATTAGCTCAACTGTTAAATGAAAAACATATTTTAAACACAATTATTGTTTTGCAAAATATTAACTAAGTAGAAGCATATGCACCAATATAACAAAGCAGGAATCTTTAATCGACTTACAGTCCACAGAAGGACTAGCTTTACAAATTGAACATTAGAAAAATTTAATTCTGAAACACGATTTAACAAATTTTTAGAAGCTGAAAAACTATACTAGACACATAGATCATCTTAACATAAATAAATCACAAAAACTCCATGAGTCAAGTTTAATGAACAAACAATATTAAAAGTTAACTTGTTCTGTGTTTGTACTAGAAAATGACCACACTAGTGGTAGAATTAATTATATCAATTCTTGTGTATGTGTGTATATATATATATGAATTGCACAGTACAATGTACTTTGTGTGAAAGTGCAATGTGCTCTAAGATACCCAATAAGTGATATACAGTGAGCATATGTTTGTAAATGTAACCATTTGCCACTCTTTGAAGAACATGGAATGACAAGAAGCAAGCTAACAAATCATCCTCATTTGGTAATTAGTTCAAGAAATCAAAATTATGGCATGAATTTACGTTAATGAGCTTTATACATCAACATTAATTTGTTAAACAAGGGCAAGATTTCAACTTTTAAAGGTCTGTTTTTAAAAACCTAATAATTTTACTATAAAAGAAAGATAAAGTAATAACACACACACTTACTTTGCCATGCTCTTCAACTCCTGTCAGCATTACCACCACTGTGACTTTGTGTTCCCATATCATCTTCCAGAAGTCTGTTACAGTACGATCAAGTGGACCCTGAGCACAAATGAATGTTTTTCTATTCTTGTAACCCTAAAAAAAAAATGTGAATAAAGTCAGAAATACTGTAATATTTCTTTCACTTGCTAGACACTAAAAATTACACTATACGTTTGCAGTCACTTGTAAAAAAAATCTTAATTGATGATTGTTAAACATATAAATGTAGGAAAATACATTTCTAATCTACTACCAAATCTTTAACAAAAATTTATTCAGTTCTCATTTGTAACAGACACATAAATTATAATGTGAGGAATTAAATTAGCATTATTTTTTTCTTCAGATGTGGGAATCTGTTGGCACATAATCATTATGTATATTATCATATCATTACACACACAGACAATTTCAATTAATAATAACTTACAAGTTCCTACTTATATTTTGTGCAATTCGATGATATTTGATGTAAAAAAGTTCTTATTGTTGATTGGTTTGTGACATGTGATACCAACATATGCTGAGCTTCTGTGTGTGTGTATATATATATATATATATATATATATATATTTAACTGCTGAGTTAGGTAAGGAGTTTTAATTGGTAGAGTTTCTTGTTAGTAGATTTTTTTCATTTTTAATGCTTGCAGTCAATATGATGTTGGTGGCAACCTACCATTGCCTTATTAAGTTTGCTGCTCAGCATGAGAATGTCACTTGTCCATGGATTGTCTTGCACAATTTGTCTATTGTAAATGACCTAGTTACCATGTTATAGAAGCAGGAGGTGTATTTAACACATATATAGTATCCCATTTTTGTGGTAATGGTTCCTCTGATGCACATGTAATTATAAAATTTTTCATTTCAGATAAATTCATGTAATTATCCTTTTATTCTTTAAGTTCTAGATTAGCTGTGTCTTCATGACAGAAGAAAAGCTTTAAAAATGTATATTTAATTGCATTTCTTACTTATTTAAGAGGTTTCCTAATTTGTTATACAACTTAGAAAGGAATTTCACAACTTTAAAAAAGGGGTTTCAGAACAATATGTTTGTAAAACACATTGGATTCAGTTACATTTTGCAGCCAGTCATACTTTTATCTCTTAATTCTTAAAAAAAAAAGCATTTCATCTTATGAAATTAACGATATGAAAACTACAAGTAAAAAAATAAACATACTTCAACACTCTAAAAAAGAGCACAGCACTATTCTACACAATAAAGATTTTACGGCAATGAATACTTAAAGCAATTACTAACTGTTTTTTAAACTGCACATTTGTAGCTTTGATATTTTTTTAAATAATGCAGCCACTCTTAAGTTTAATTTTGAAAAATAGTTTGTTACAAAAATTATTTTAGTTCCAGTTAAAAACCACTGTTCATTAGTTTCTAGATTGCAAATACAATTAAAAAAAATTGAAGAGTCTCCAATATTTCTTGTAAAACTATGTTTGAAAAAAGTAATATGATAGTTAATATTGTATACTTTCATAAATTGAACTTTGTCATCCAAGAACAAAGTTTATATTTAAATTTCGTAAAATGTTATTAGAAACTATTTAAAATAAAAATATTACTAAGTGATCTTCAGAATGAGGTAGGATCATCCATGAAATTGTTATTAAAATGAGGTTTTTAAAAGGGAATTTTATTGCAAATTTATGCTTTATTATTTAAGCTCATCAAAATTACTCTGGTTCTAAAATAAATCAAATAAGCAAGGGACCAGAAATTTTTTTATGTAAACTAAATATTTCTGCAACATCCAGTTATTTTTTTTTACTATAAATATGTGACAGTTGTGCATCATTTCTATGTTCTTATACCCAGAATTTCTGATCAAATGCTACAACTTTCAGAAAACAAATCACAAAGACAGGTCTTTTTGAATAACAAGACATTTCTCCTGGGTCATCTCAATAAATAAGAGTTAATAGTTATTACATTTTTATTTTATTTTTATAATTAAAATTAAGAAATAAAAATACAACCAATTACATACACAAACCAAAAGACTTCTTATATAAAAAATGTCAAAATCAATTTAAAAGTGAATAATGAAGTATTTCAAGAAAACAAGGTTAGTAATACATGCAGTAGTAAAATGCACCTCATTTTTTTCTCTATATTGAAAGAACTATTTTTGTCTAAACTGTTTTTTAATCTATCATTTGAGAACATTTAGTTGATTTTTTTATGACAATACTGTGACAAATGAATATTCAAGTATAAAAGCAAACTGTACTAATGGTTAAAAATTTCATGGCAACCACAAATGTCATGTTTCTATGTAAAGTTAATCAGTTTGTGTAAGAGATAATGAAGCTATCAGTTGGAAGGAACCCTAAATTTGTGTTGTATCAAATATTACATTTCACATGAATTTGAATATGAAATAAGTTTTATTATGTGCAAAAAAAACAGTAAATGCAAAGGCAACTCACAAAACTTCTTTAAGTGCTGCAAAAATATTAGGACTGTGATATATTTGTTAATATTACCATAGAAGACACAAAATTTGTGTATATGTTAATTTATGTGAAAAATCTTATCTGTTTCATCATACAAAGTTTAGTATAAGAGATTCTGCATTCAAGACACAACCTACAAGCCCATTTCATATCAATCTTGACCATGGACCAGATTAGAAACTTACTAGATGCATTAAATGAATTTTCTTATTAAAAACTCTGGTCTACAAGAATGAAATTTCTCGTTGTTGTTTTGAATTTTCATTTTAAGGCAATCGATACTAGTGATTTTTTGTCCTTCACTGCCATAAAATGTAAATAAAAAAAATTATTAAAGAATGAAGTTTCTAACAAATTCAAAATTCCTTTCAAAATGATTTTACGAATAAACAATTACTCAGATATGAGGTAAACTTAAGTAAAAAATCTTGAGCCTGAAATGCATTACTCAAACTTTACTTAACATTGTTAGCAAACAGCAAGAATTGTTTATTGTGAACTAGCAGTAACAAAAGTCATTGTTTAGAAGTCAGAATTAAGAAATGCACAAATATTATTAATAATCTATGTTTAAATGTCTGAAGTTATGAGAAGGACAATATCTTATAGATGAAACAAAAAAAATTATAAATGAAGAAACATAACTAAATTTTTTTTCTATTTAAACATTTTAACAAGTTTTTGATCTTCATACTAAAAATAAATGTTGATTGCATTTGAATCACTCACCATTTAACTTCTTGAAAACTTTTCAAACTTATAATATTTAATTATTTGTTAAGTCTTTCCTTCTCTAAAGCATAATGAGACAAATAAAGAAATTACATAAATCCAAACAACATTTTGTTATGCAAGTAACTTAAGCTGCTCTATAGCAAAATATCATAAAAGAGCTATATTTACAACTAAGCTTCACTGTTGCATATAGATAAATCGGAAGTTCTGAGTTTTTTCTACTGTTGTGAAGTAGGTGTGGAATGTCGAAAATCTACTGACATAGGATGTTTAATCAAATTGGGGGCCATTTGTTACCTGACATCACCTGATATAAAGGTCAAATCAGAATCATCCAAATTTGTATAATCTTATAACTTGCCCTGTATTAAAGTGAAACATTTTTTATTTAAAAAATTATGCAAGTCTATGCTCAACCCACAGGTAAAACAATGTTTTTGGTGTAATATTGTTGTGCACTACAACTTTTGTACTGATACATTTTACCTTGGACTGATAGTTTCAGAAATAGCGTTTGACCTTTCTACTTGGACATCATATCAAATAACAAATAGGCCCTGGTATGCCGAAACACCCTATGTCAGCAGAATTTTGATATTTCACATCTACTTCACAACAACGGGTAAAATCAGGACTTTTGACTCACCTGCATTGATATTCAGTAATTAAAATGATACTTCTTACCTCTACAAAATCTGCATTTATATAATCTGAGCCTGGTACTCCATCTTCCACTGGTAACCTCACCCTTGTTTGATCATCTGTGTGTAACACAATGAGGAGAAAATCTGATGTAATATGAATCATAATATCCATTTTATTTGTCTAGGGCATCTATTTAAAGTAAAGCTTTACTGATTATATAAAGAAGTTTTGCCTTTTGTTCAGTTATGAACAGTTTTACTTTCTTTAAATAATCTATTGTTATTAAGCAACTACTCACCCAGACTATAATAGAAACTACAGGTTTTTTTCAGTTACAATATGATAAAATTATTAAGACATTTCTAATGAAAAACAATCATATGGAGTGTGACACACAGCACTTTTTTTTCACACATTGTTTTCCAAGTATAAATTATTTGCATTATTATCCACAGATGAGCGGCTAATACAACATCTCCGTGTGTTTCTTTTCAAGTACAAACTCTTAACTCATAGCTCTGTCATCTCTTTACCAATTTGAAATCAAATACAGTTTTGGACTCAGGAGGTCAAACCCTTTTAACTAATGTATTTGACCACACCCCAAAATCTCATAAATAAATTTACTCTAATCATGCCTAAAAGAATTTAAATTTGAGGGTAGGCTGGTAGAGATCCTGATGAGTAATAAAATTGAATCGAGTATATGCGTGCCCCGTGCTTGGTATTGCTGGCACACAAACATATAGCTAATAAAAAGGGAAACTAAGGTCTTATAGATAAATTTACACTAATCTTGCCTAAAAGAATTTCAAGTGCCACAGCTATTGAGGATTCCCTCTTGTATCCTTAATTAACAGTACAAAATAAAAACATTTTTATTTCATATTTATAGGACATACTTATTATTGTTTTGAATTTCTAATCATTATTCCTAATTTCTATCCATAGTTTAAAACTTGTGAAAATTCAGTTCCAATTTTAGCAATCACTGAGCAAAAATATAATTGTTAGGTTCAGCATAAAAGTTCATAGAATGGCACCGAGTTCTTCGTTTTCTTCAAGTACAAACTTTTAGCTTGTAGCTCCATCATCTCTTGACCAATTGGAGATTAATTACATTTTTGGACTCAGGAGGTCAAACTCTTTCAATTATGTATTTGACCTACCCAAGGTGTCATAGATTAATTTACTCTAATCGTGCCTAAAACAATTTCAATTTGATAGTAGGCTGGTAGAGATCCTGATGAGTAATAAAATCGATCAGGTATGTGCACACCCCATGCTTGGTAATACTGACATACAAAAATATACCTAATATAAAGAACTCATAGATTAATTTACTCTAATCCTGCCTAAAAGAATATCAAGTGCACGGCTATTGAGGATTCCCTCTCATTTAATATGCTTCTTCTATGATAATTTTGTAAGATATAAAATACTTCATACAAACATTAGATTTAAACTTATAAACCACTTTTAACTACCAATAAGCAGTGTTATAGAAATTTATTTATAAGGCAAGATGCATTAGGTAATGGGTATATCAATTATGATTGTCTTTTTTCATTTTATCTGTTTGAATGTTAAGTAATTTTTTACATTATTAAAAAATATGGAAGTGTTTTTTCTAGCTCTAAAGCAAACAATTTAAAAAACCTAAACCAGACCTAGTTAAGTTCCATCAATAAAAAAGAACAAATATATATTAAAAAAATTGCAATCAAGGCATCTACATTTTTCACAATTCACATCATATGAATGATATTACGAGGACTGACTGTAGATTACAGCATATTTAAAATAGTCAAGTTTTTTCTCACTTTACACTGAAAAAAACGAATACATTAAAGTACTAGTACTTACATGATCGAATATCTGGATAACGATTTTTACTAAGGTTCTCTGGACTGTCAGCTGCATGTGTAGTTCTATCCTTGAACTTCTCTGGCAGGGCCTTTATGTGTAAAATCAAAACGTTAAGTACAACAGTAGCGCTCATCAGTTGTAGTAAATTTAATGGACTAATTAATGTTTCATAAGTTATTTTTGAATTGAATCTTTGAAATAATAATAAAAAAAAACAGATTTTTTTGATAAGTTAGTTTTTACACTTACTTAGGTTATTTTTGGTTTTTGAAATTGAGATTCAATCAAACAATGGGCTTGAAACTCTTTGGTTTGGAAAACAATTAACCATTTCATAGACCATTTCATTATGTATTTTGATGGAAAGAACAGTTTTTTAAAGCTGAATTAATTTTAGTTAATCAAAGTTGTGTATATTTATTTCCACCCAAATTAAAACCCTCCAGTATGCATTAATAAATACTTGTATTACAATATTAAATTTTCTACAGTTATCCCTGAAATAATATTAAAGTCGCTAGATACAAATAGCAACAATATCCTCAGTTCTTGTAATACACAAAAGGAACATTATACAAGTACCTTAAACAATATAAACAAACACTAACCTCAAATTCTCTTTGAAAAAGTAAGTCACTGTCATTATGTCTTTCTACATAAGCACTAGGTAAATCTTCTGCTGCTATAGGGCCTAAGTAGGGAACTTTTGACAGTCGACTACCTATAAAAGTGTTGTTACCAAATTACTTTAATCAGAATTAAAGAAGATATATGAAAAAATACTATTCTCCTCTTATATTTTTAAGTCTTCCTGCTTAATAATACCAAATCTATGCTAGCACGAGTTGCACATACATATTTAATTATTTTTCAATAGAAAATACTTGAAGTATAATTTTAGTCTCTCTATACACGTTAATATATTTCTATTTACACTTGTCAGCTAACCCTTCACATCAGAATCTTTTAGAAAATACGAATTTTATTTTTTGTAAAATCATTTGCTAAAACAGCTTTAAATAAAATGCTTATACAATAACAATGTAAAATCACACAGATTTTATGATAAATTTAGATAGTTTTACTTCCAGCACTTATGTATGTATACTAGAACAAATTTATATTTTTCTTTAAAAAAACGACTATATTTTACTGAATAAAAATATTTTTGTTTACATTTATCAAATACAGATAGACATTTCAGTGTACATAAACTGTAACATGCAACTAAGAAACAAACACAAGTTGCTGAATACTATTCATTATTTAGAAATATACTAACTTTTACATCTGGGTATATGGCCATTTCTTTGAATGGTGCGACGAATCAAAGCTGTAAGACCTAATCTGTCACCTTCATCATATGGGTGATTATTTTTACGCCTGAGAGCAGAAAGAAAAAAATTAGAGCAATAAAACACTAATGATTTAAAAAAAATATTAAAGCTTCTTTGTAATCTTCGTAATATTGAATTGTATTGCAGCTCATTAAAATCCAGTTAATTAGCAGTAAACAGTTGTAGTAAATTTAATGGACTAATTAATGTATTATAAGTTATTTATGACTTGAATCTTTAAAATAATATCAAAAGAAACAGATTTGTTTGATAAGTTCAGCAACAGAAAACAATAATAAGCATAAACCCAGTAAGTTTTTTAGATCACACACACGTTTTTAATTTCCATTCATTTACCTTTCTTTATATACATAGAAGTTTTACATATGTAATATTTTTTATTATTGAAATGTGCTTAAAGTGATTCCTGGAAAAAAACCCCAAAAAACTGGAACTTGAATGTAAATAAATTGTAATAAGTGGTTCATTAAGGCAGACACATACTTGAATAGGCACAAGACCAGGATTAAAATGAGTACAACAAAGATAAGACCACTAAGAATGCCTAAAACAATGGCCATTGGATTTTCTGTGGGTTCAGTCTTAGGAAGAGAACCTGTATAGAAAAAAAATGTATTTAAGAACAGTATCTGCCATTGACTGTACAAAGTCAACTAACAGGTTGGTATTTTGTGTATCATTACAACCCAATAATACTAATAACAATTTTAATAAATCTTAACTAATCCTATACAAATTTCTTGTAATAAAAACATGATAACATCTCAACCATGTGATGCTACTGTCTACATGAAATATTTGAAAATTTCACAGTGTAGTGTACTAACTTTTCTAAAAACTTTAATTTACTTTACAGAAAATCTTATCAATTATCTACCTATTTTCAGTTTTTACAAATATCATACTTGATCATGGGTAATTTTTTGCTTTAATGTCTTATATGAATAATATTGTAAATAGTAGTTACTTTAACTCTATATCCTATTCTATATCACTGTGCATTAGTGACCAAAAATTGGTGAATGAATTTATTTTCTGTGTAAAATAGATAAGTGACTCCACCTGTAACTAATGGATTTAACTGCAAAAATTGATAGTATTTTTGTACACACTTTCTGTATAATGCATATGTTATTAGAGATCTGGTAACCAAATATTTAATGGGCTCATAAGAAATTACCTGCATAGTTTATAACAATGTGTTTAAAATGTCAATGGAGTCCTTAAGGATCCTATCAGTAGTAGGTGTTGCGTCATCGAGGTCACGTGACTGGTGTGGCGCCCTCTAGTTTCTAGAACTATCTTGTTCCTTCATGAATGCTCTAGTATTTACGAGAAAGGGTAGTCTGGTATATATAAGAGGGTGACAACGTGACGCGGTAATGTAATGTGTGGATAGACAGTGAGTAATTGAACTGCAGTCAGAGAGCACGAGAGACGTTACAGTGTTTGTTTAGCGCGATTGTTGAAGTTGAGTGTATCGGTAAAGTTATATTCGGAAAGAATAAACCAGTTTTATTAAGAAAGGACTTGTGTCGCTTAAGTTTCGTCGGAACGAAGTTACGGAAAGTTAATTAACAAACGAAAACGTAACATAGGGTTAAGACGTATGATATATAGAAAATTACTTACCAGTCTCAATAGGAGCAAAGTATGGACTTTGTTTGGATAAGATCTATTAAAATGAAAATATATTCAGTTATTACAATGACTGGATATAATCTTTTTTTTTACTTAATATGTGCAAGTAATGTAGCAAACACACACACACTTTTGTCTTTAGATTTGGTCATGTAGGATTAAACCTAAGAAAGCTCAGCTTCCCATTGAAAGGATAAAATAACCACATATCAGCTAAAAATTTTAAAAAAGGAAGAAACCAACTGATTACAGTTCTCCAGTGACCACACAAACATAGTATGTTTCTCATAAAGCTTTATGAATATTTACATAAACAATAAAAATAACAAGAGCAGAATTTTTGCACAAAAGATCAATATAATTGAGTCAATAATGATAATAAAAGAGCTTGATCTGTAAATTGAGACTTCTGTGAAACATGTGGGGACCTTTGATTTCTGGAGTGGAGTGCTGGAATTTTATGTTAAGTAAGTGTAATAAACATTCAGATCCTACAATATTATGGACCCAAATATGAAAATAAAATAGAAATTCAAACATTTAAACCTGATTTGCTATATGGCACATACCACCATGATCGTGGATGGCATTATATTCTCTGAAAATTTTCTGTAGTAGCTATATCAGGGGAACACATCTAGAATATGAGCCAGAGGTGGCCAGCTGGTCACTTGTGAGTCACATAACATAACATAATGTTTTGGGACAACATGGGACCTATTGGTCCATCTTGGCTGTTCCATCCTCTAAACTAAATTAAAATAATTTAAAAAAAATCTTAAAGCTAGCCCTTATCATTCAAAAACTCACTTAAATTTACTGCCTTAACAAAGATATTATATAATGTTTTTGTTTTTCAGTGATTGCAGTATGGCTCTTTAAATGTTTCCAATTTCTGAGTAGGCAATGATTGCTTTATCTATTTTTATTTATTCATGGAAATATTGAATGACAACATAACTCACCAACTGTTGAACAATTGACTTTTGAGTGGTTGACTTTTAAGTTTTAGGTCAGAAATTCTAAGGCTCAAGTATAATCATTCCTAATTCCAAATTACTGACTAGAAAGAAGACAGCCAGTCAGTTGTACCTGCCACCACAATGGCATTTTGAACTGAATGATTCGACTATCACTTTTATAACATGCCCATACTAAAAGTGCATACGGTGTTCAATGAGATCACGTTTGAAACCTAAACCCTTGGAACTACAATCTGACATAACTACTAGTCAACACCTGGCCTCCGAATAACAGACAAATGAGAGAAAGGAGAGACTGAACGAGAAGGCGAATTGATAACACGATAATTTACTTTTATCAATATGTATGATTTAATTAATTAATTATATTCATTGGTATCCCATTTTTACAGTTTCCTTTTGATTGAAGCAATATTGTATTTTACAGCTTAGCTTATTCCCTACAAATTGCAATTAAAGGCATATAATATTCCACACTGATTCATCATTTTGCAAATGTAAAGTTAAATATTTCGTTAACATAATGAGGTTAGTTGGGAAAATTCCACACCAACCGTACTGAAATTGTGTGCCAATGGTTAATCCAATAATTGGTATACTAGCAAGTCACTGTTCATACAAACACTATAATTAAAACATTTTCTGTCGCCGGGTGGTCCTTGTCCAATAGCACAGATAATTACTTGCTGAATAGTAATGATTATTTAACTCAAAGGCTAACGAATACTATATCCTTTTAACAGGTATATTTTTATAGTGGAAAGTATTAAAACGTCATTGTAAGTTAACGCTGAAACTTCATTCGGAATACCTAAGCCATTTTCCTAGTTGATTTTCCTGACAACCTGGAAGAAACCATTATACATAGGAGTAGCACCAGCCTCTTTCCGATGAGGTGACTGAAGTTGATGAGACAAAAAATTAAGGGGGTGCATTTTACATCTTGTGGGCATATAAGATACAGGCCCGTACCCACAATGTTTGAAAGGGGGAGGAGTTATAATTTGTGACATCAAAAGCCAACACATATTGTGCAAAGCATGCTAATACTACGGGGGTCTGGAGGCATACCCCCATAAAATTTGTGCTATGAGGTTCTATTAGGAAGTAATTTTGTATGAAATATAGCTTAAACAATTGCATGGTTGTTCACATAAAATCCACAAACATCCAATGAAAAGTCAAGAAATCATCATTCTGTTGTAACACTGCATTATTTAAAATGTCAACAAAAGCCACTGTATGCGACTATTTCAAGCCAAAACATTTTAATACTTCATCATAAGAATGTAGACTACGTAGAATACATTAAATATCATAAGTAGCTGCGCTATAACTATATAAGCATAATTGTTTTACATCACAAAAACAGGGGGTTCGGTTGAACCTTGTCCCCCCCCCCCTCCGCATAAGTGCGTAAACCAGCATTTGGGAAATGTACCAACTTTTCGTCAGGTGCAGGGGCTACAGGGAAGCTAAGGCATATTTAATGGTAGCTTCAACCCTAGGAAGCACGCCCACCTTGACACCGTCCCTGATTATAAAGCAGTCAAGACAGGAATCAACTTCAATTATTACACACTTTGGCTGGCAATCATATCGGATAATATTAATTGAATTTTGTGCAGAGACTTAAATCAGTAATATTGACATGTGGTCGGAGAGGATATGGGGGCAACACAAACATATAATGCCTAGCACTTAGCTAATTTTGTCGCACACCCCTCCTGAATATAATTTTATAGTGGGAATGACTCAAACGTCACTGAGGTTACTGTTTCAAATAAAGCTAGACCATCTTGCTTACATTGTTAATAAAATATATCCAATAAATACAGTTACTATATATAGGTTTTGTGTAGGAAAACTGTATTAGACGGAAGAACAAAAGGTTTAGCTTAGCATAAAAATGGAGTTAAATTACTATAAAAAACAGGCTAAAGAAAATAAGTAAACTTATACAATTATATATAGCAGTTCGCTACATTCTTTTCCTAGTTTCATCCTTTTAAATTCTTGTGTCTCGTTATGGTATGTTGAGGAAATTCGTAGTTATTTATTACATTGCTTTGAAGAATTGTATTCATATTGGGAATTAAAAAGGAAACAACTAGTTAATTCAAAAATAAGCCATAGGCTGTGAGAACTTTACGTTAATTCTAACGTTCTAATCACTAGTTAACACATTATATATATAATTTTGTTTTTTTCTTTTCTTTTTTTTATTAAACATATAAAATGATAGGGAGATGTTCTTCAAAAACATGTGCCATTTCAATTTTTAGTTGTAAAGGCATATATGGTGCAGGAATATTATTTGGTGTAATATGTGATGGCTTTTGATGGTGTTCTTATGCAAAAACCACTTTTGGTGTAGTAGTCTGCAGAATTCATCAATAATTTTCAAATTGTTTCCATAGGTGCACAGAACTACTTAGTTTGATTTTTGTTTAAAATCAGCATCTCTTGGTTCGAACATACACGCACAAAGCACAGTAATGCTTAGTATGTAGGGTTGAGCCGAGAAAATAAAAAGGTTGCCCTATTCAATTCATTACTCTATGATGCTTACAAATAACTGCTAAAGTTGAATTATAACCTTATTTGAGCATCTAATTGACATTATCGAGTGTTTCACAGCTTGTGAGACTCCCATTGTCGTTGAAAGGTGTTGCTGAAATGGAGAACTGGGAACTAGTTAAAAGTGTTCATCTTTCTATTTTCTTATCCCACGCTAGCCAAAAAATGAGTGTTGTTTTCGCAATGGCTTTAGTACAACAGAAAATAATTTCAATTAAGAGCACTTGGAAACAGTAGTGCTTAGTATATAGGGATGAGCTGAGTAAATAATGGCCGCTGCATTCAATCTATTACTCTATGATGCTTAGAAATAACTGCTAAAGTTGAGTTATAGTCTTATCTGAGCACCTAATTGTCATTATGGAATGCCTTACATCTTGTAAAAAATCAATATTATTCTGTTCTTCTGAGGTATGGTTTTGTGTATTCATCCCTACTTTGTTTCTGTGCCTTTTGGCATTGCCGTCACTATACCACACTTAATGTTTGCAATTTCTTTTATTGTTTGTGTATGTATATATATATATATATATATATATATCTTTGAGGTGAGATAATCACAATCTAATTATCAAAGGAATATCCATCGTTGATTTGAAGTTTTAGACACAAATATGTTTTGTGTTCCCTGCTCATATAAAAGATAACTGAATAGTTACTGCATATCTGGGAGAACAGTCTATACTAAAAATCAACTTGATATAAAGTAATGCTTAGAATATTTCCAAGATGTCTCAAAATTGTAGAATTGCTTAAATATATATATATTTGGCAGCTAATCCATTTTACGAAAAAGAAAAATTAATGACATGTTTAGTAGATGTAATTTTGATCCATCAGGAGTCGACACTTTGAAAAGGTACTTCGTTAATTTTTACTATTAATGAGAGCTTTCTCAACAGTTTCAATCTTAGAATGGAATATTATGATATTGCGTAAGTTAGGCAGCATCCCACGCATGACAATAACATACTATTTTTGAATTACCACCAACACAATTTTCTCAAACTTAGTTAACGTTAGGCAGCTCACACCATATTTATTTTCTCCTGAACTGTGAATTTTTGAGCAATTTTTTTTAATGTTAGATGCTTCAGTTTTTCAAACAAAAATAACACTGTAAAGACGTATTATGCAAGATTTGCAGGAAGAAAAAATAAAAACAGAGTTATAGCAAAAGTAGACCATGATGTTTGAAGTGTTTTCAACACTTACCATTTTGTTAGGCCCAATTACTCGAACTTCTACGAAGCCAGTATAGTTGGTATTCGGTGCAAGCTTTCCATCATACACATATTCTACGTCTGTAAGTATATTTGTTTTTTTCAAAGTCTGTTCTGATATTTTTCGGGATCGAGCATGGATGCTCAGTGGGTGTTCACTGGAAGTATCCTCACACATACTGTAGCGATCATCTCCAATTACAACTTCACTCACAAACTTTTCGCTAGTGATAGATATATTAAAAAAATGATAACAGATGTTTTTTTTATGGATATAAAACGAAACTAAGAGCATATACGTGCCTTACTTTAAGATGCGAGACAAAATCATTCATAATTAACATCCTGAGCTGTAGTCTTTTTATTTGGCAAGGTGCATGTTTTATTCCAGACTTATATATTGAAAATAATATTCTATTTATAAACACTTCACACACATGATTCAGATTATATCGTTTAAAATTAATTAAGGGGTGTTACTGGCGCTCGAAAGCCTGAATTTCAGATCGTAATTACAATTCATTATTTAGCGCTGTTTTAATATATAATCTGGAGTTTTATGTATTATAACAATATCCTACATACAGGATGTGAGGTACAATGCCCAAGAATTCCTTCACAGCTTTATGCGATGAAACAATTTTATTCCGATTGGGACACCATCGAACAAAAAAATCAAAAGTTGAATTTCACGACAGAAAAATAAAACTGGAATTTATTGAGTTTTATATATAATTTATGATGGCTCAAATTACTCTCTTTAGCTGCTAAATATTTGATATAACAACGTAAATAGCGGTTTCCATCTTCCTTTGCGCTTACATATGTTATCCATGTTTATTTTGAAATAGAAAATAACTTACATATCGAACACTAGAAAATGCGAGTTTTAAAGTTACTTGGAAGTAATGAAAGTTGGGCATCATTATATTCTAAAAATCCCTCGAAAAAGGAGGTCACCTGCGTTTAGAATTAACCGTTTAAAGCGTTAAATTTGGTAGTTAGAGTGTACTCTGACACTGAAAGACTCAAAACGTATGTAATTGTTACGTCTCCGTTTGTTAATTGATTTTCCGTAACTTCGTTCCGACGAAACTTTAACGACACAAGTTTTTACTTAATAAAACTGGTTTATTCTTTCCGAATATAACTCTGCGATACACTTTGTCTCAATACTCGCGCTAAAACAACACTGTAACGAACGAACGTTAACTTCAACAATACCGTGTGACTGCAGTTCAATTATTCACTATCCACGCACACATTACATTCCCCTCTTTTATATATCCGCCTACCCTATATCTAGTAAGAACTTGAACATTCGCCAAAGTACATGATAGTTCTAGAAACGTTGCGTCACAGTAGTCATGTGACTCGATGACGCAACATAATCATGAAACATTCATATTGTTGTAGTAAGAATCCTGGATTATCAATCTTTTAAAATAGTGAGCTACTCTACGCAGGGAAATGAATTACGGTTTATAACCACATGTAATAACCTAAAGCGGATACTTAAAGTCATATGTATACCCGTGTTTCTTCTTGTTTCGAGCAAGCTTGCAGACAGACATAATTACGCCGAAGCCTAAAATTATATCACATACCACACTAATTTGAAAAGTTATCACGAAAAAGTATAAGAACCTTTACAATCGCATGTTTATTCATGCTCAGTAACATAAGAGTCAACTTCCAGAATTTGAAATACGATTTGCATACTTCGAATATTTACAAAATTCCGAAGTGACCTGGAAAGATTTAGATAGCAGCTTAAGAAACGCAAACAATAAAAATGATATATTTCTAGTTATTTCCGCCATAAATTTCGTAGACCATTTATGTAAGATTTAAGACAATAACACGAGTCTTAGCTTTAACTCAAGCTTATTTGTAAGTAATTAGAAGCACTAACTGTATATGGTAAAATGCTTTACAAATTATTAATCTTGTTGTAAGACCACATTCACGAATACGAACCCTTAAAATCATTTATTTCCAGGTTTTGCAGGTGTCACGCTCAATACATTCCGTTTTTCCGTTACAGTCTTAATTCTGAACGTGTCGAGTAATGTTGTGCTTTCACTGTATTACATATCTCCCAAGTTGCCAGTTTATCAAGTCAACACTTTTAATTAAGTTTAATATTCAAAGTATTTAGATTATTTATGATAATCCATACTTCATACAAATTTTCCCCAAACAGATATTTTTACAGAAATGAGAAGATTTACTAACGTGTTGATAGCTTCTGCAATGTAGGCTCCGTGGCCATCTTTCCTATGGACCTCTCCGTAGGTTGTTATATCAAGCGAGCTAGGGTCCGATGGAAGGTTTTCTAGGCTTTGCCCCGATTGAAGCTTTATAATAACTACTCTGTAGCACCTGTAAATGTATACACGTGGTGATGGTTAAGTAACTTTTGCTATAGAAAACATTATACAATTGTATAAAGCTCATTACAAATTTTTACAGAATTACATAAAAATTGTTTAATTCTAGTTTGTATCAAATACTGAAGCAATGTATAAACTATTTCACCAACTATAAATTTAACGCTTTTGGTTTTAGTAGATAAATAAAAATATACTTATAACAACTAATAAAAACTTTCTTTGAAACAGTAGAGCTATGCAACATTCGTCTTTCTACAGCAGTTTCTTTAATGTTTCATTTTAGTTATAGTATGAAATTCGTCCCATGATTGTGTGATATCAGTCGGATGTGTGCACAAGCAAAATCTGAATCAAACAACCTATGTAAGAATTTACTTAATTTGTTTTATCTGTTATAAAACTGGTAAATTTAAAACAAACGATTGATCATATACTCTTTGATGTGGGCCGAAGGCTATCCAGTGGCTAGCCTGCTGGACTATGGATCTGAGATTCGCTCCTCGTTACCATAAAAAATATCGCGATCTACAATTTGGAGACGTAGATATATTATAAGAATGACGGTGAAATCCCACCATTCAATTAGAGTTTGTTTGTTTGTTTAGATATAAGCACAAAGCTACATAATGGGCTATCTGTGCTCTGCTCACCACGGGTATCGAAACCCGGTTTCTAGCGTTGTAAGTCCTCAGACATACCGCTGTGCCACTGGGGGGGCTCAATTAGAGTAAAACACGAGTTGACGGTAGGGGTGTTGACTAGCTGAGATCTCTAGTCTATCACACGCGGATAGCCGTCGAGTAGTTTTGCGCGAAATTCAACAAACAACGGACAGAAGTTTCTATTTAAAAGTTTAACATAACTAAACACTCAGTTTATGAATGATACTGCTATCGTTCATTGTGTAACATTGAAAAAAAAAGCTACTTAAATTATTGTGTAAGGTTGAAGATGGATCTTTCACTTTATTTTTTATTGTTTTCATTCTATTCTTTTTTTTTATGTTCTCTTGTGGTTCAGCGGTAATTTTAAGGGCTTATGACGTCAAACTGAAGGTTCGATTCTTTGCGATGGAAACAAAGATAGCTTATTGTGTAGCTTTGCGCTTAAGGACAGTTACAAACGTACTATTTAGTCTTTAAGTCATAAAAAATTTAATATATAAACTTAATGTCAGACCTTTAAAACAGTCACCAAAATTTAAGCGTTTAGTCTCCGTAGCTGATATTCAAACATCATAAACTCACTCAACAAACAGGATTATAAATAAAGATAAATTATTCAAATTGCCTTTTTTCGTTTTAGACTTTTCACGCAAAGCTAAACTATCTATGCATAGGCATACATAATATTAAACTGACAGATTAGATGGAAGGCAACTAGTCAACAACACCCTTTGCCAACTCTTAAGCTACTTTTATCCATTTAAACAATTGGATTTGACCGTCACTCTTACATTCTTATAGCGCATCCACGACCTCAAAAGTGTGGAGCGTTTTTACCCCTTTTTTTTTGCAGGAACGGCCGCGAACCGTACACCTTCGGAATTCATAGCCTAAATACGCTAATCCAGTGGTGTCCAAACTGTGTGTCAAGTGTGGCGTGGCACGTTGCTTGTGGTATCGTGAGAGTTTCATTAAACGAAGAATAAGTAAGAACATAAAAAACCCTCTACAAAAAATATTGTATGTGGCAGGCAGCAGGGGTGTCGCGCAAATCAAGGTAAGTAGGTAAGTTAGTGTGAAAAGTTTGGAAACTGCTGCGCTACTCGCTAGGCCATTTCCGTTTCACAGAATGAAACGATACCACAACTTTCGACAAAGTTACAATTCTTTTAAAGGAGATTTTTCTACCGCAAAAAACAACACCACCAAAAAGGATATTGTTAAAATCTTTGTAAGAGAACGAGAATTATGTGGCCAATGCTTGGAAGAAAGAAAATAATTATCCGGTTAAACGAAATTATTTTACCCTTAAGAAGAATTTAAGCATTTCTTTGCATTTTCAGGTTTTTTCAAGTAAACAACTTACATAAAAGGTTTGTCGTTTGCACGATCATCTTCTTGTTCTTAGTAGTATAAAATTTGGATGAAAAAATAATATATATATATATATATCACTTTTGAAAAACAAGCTTTGTCCTTTTACATATAATCTTTAGATTCAATGTCAGTTAAACTTTTAAAATGTTTAGTTCTTAACCTTGATATTGACCGGATGCTACCCAGTTAGTTACTAGCGTTTATCATATTTATTATCACAGGCTCCTGGAAGATACACGAAGCTATACATAGGTGTCTGTCTGTTCCTACCAGCACCATCTAGATGATACATCAAGTCGTTCGCTTGTATCTGTCCGTCTTTACAACCATCCGGCTAGTATATGAAATCGTTCGCTAGTATCTGTCCGTTTCTACAACCACCCAGTTGATATATGAAACTGTTCGCTAGGATCTGTCCGTATTTACAACCACCCGGCTGATATGTGAAGTTCGCTAGTACCTGTCCGTCTTTACAACCATCCGGCTGATATGTGAAGTTTTTCGCTGATATCAGTCCATTTCTACAACCATCCAGCTGATATGTGGGTTGTAAAAACGGACAGATACAAGCGAACGATTTATTTGGTTGATATATGAAACCGTTCGCTTGTATCTGTCCGTTTTTACAACCATTTGGTTGATATATGAAATCGTTCGCTTGTATCTGTCCGTTTTTACAACCATTTGGTTGATATATGCTACAACCATCCGGCTGATATGTGAAGTTGTTCGCTGACATCTGTTCGTTTCTACAACCACATGGCTGATACATGAAATCGTTCGCTTGTATCTGTCCGTTTTTACAACCATCCGGCTGATATGTGAAGTTGTTCGCTAGTATCTGTTCGTTTCTACAACCACATGGCTGATATATGAAATCGTTCGCAGATATGTGTCCGTTTCTACAACCACATGAATAATATATGAAGTCGTTCGCTATAATATGTCCGTTTCTACAACCACCCGGCTGATATATGAAGTCGTTCGCTAGTTCCTGTCTGTTTCTACCAAACAGATAATAAATGAAGTATTTCACCAATTCAGTAGGTTTGGCAAATAACTTACATAAAAGTTCTGTCGTTTGCACTATCCGCTTCTTAGTTGTATGCAATTGGATGAAAATATATGTATACAAACTTTGTCCTTTAATTCATAATCTTTAGATTCAAAGTAAATTAAACATTAAAATATTAATTTCTGGACCTTGTCTCTAGCTGCATAATGTATGCGACAGAATATACGGTCCCATCATTAAAATAAGTTTACGTCCCACACTTTTGTTTACGCTTACAGCATAATTTTTCTTCTTGATACTCATCACAATACATGGTGTGCTCTAGCGTTCCAATTCTTATTACATGATTGTGGTTATTTTCTTTCTTCTTTTCAGGAAATACGCTGTTCTGTTTGAATCGATTTTCAGGTAGTTCAAAAATAGAAGAGATTCGTTGGCTAGTAGCCAACCAAAGAAGGTTTTCATCGGCTAAGTGGCTAAGCCTAATTTCGTATCCATAGGTACGTTGATACATTATATTAATATAATTAGTGTGAGGAGATGTTTTAGACTGAGAAAACTGCTGTTACCTTACTGAATCCACCAAGACCTTTTTTTATTTTTACAAAGTATAGTTTTTACAGTAAGTGAACTCAAACGAAACTATTAAACAGGATCTCAGTTGTTGTTTTTTAGTACGAACGTTTTATTAGCTGTTCGTATTTGATCCAGTCAGATATTAATCATTTTGTCACGTATGCAACTTGTATGGCGTAGCTAATAATTAAATAAGATTTTATGCAGCATCACAAAGTTCGTCATTGTTTTAAAGCATGTATAATATAATTCAACGCTTATGTAAATATAAATGCACATAAGCACAATTACAGCTACAAGTCTACAGGGGAAAGAGGATTCCTCACTTTGGGGACCACTAAAAATAATTAATTTTCTTGTATGTGGCATTCCCATATAAGAATATTGTACGTTTGATAATCCTAACGTTACTCTGTTGAGATGTTGAAGACCATTCATTGTATTGCACTGCTGAAGATCCAGTGGTAATCACTAATATAAATCCTAATTTTACTGTGTCGAGGTGAAGACAATTCATTTTATTACACCGATGAAGAAGATACTACCACCACTGATGGAAATCCTAACGTTATTGAATTGTGCTGTTGAAGAGAACACATTGTATTGTCAAAGTAGAACACGTCAATATTGTCATTAATGTGTTTGATGAAAAAACGTTTGGCACATGTGTATGGCGTTGATAAAACACCTATAACTACCGTGTTATATTTCTGATGCCATGCTAATTAATAACTTGTTACGCTTCTGATATGTTATTTTCCTGAAGAACCTGTCAACATTGTGTAGTACACTGGTGATAAATGCTCTATTACAATAATATTACCTCGTGCTCTTAATGAAGAATTTGTCAACAGTGTGCAATACGCCAGTGATAAATATTTTATTACAGTAATATTACCTCGTGGTTTTAATGTAGGATGCGTCAACCTGTGCAATACGCCAGTGACAAATATTCTATTATAATAATATTATCTTGCGCTCTTATGAAAAACCTGTTAACACACTGCAATATTCTAGTGATAAATATTCTGTTACAATAATATTACCTCGTGCTTTTAATGAAGGATGCGTCAACCCTGTGCAATACTCCAGTGATAAATAGTCTATTACAGCAATATTACCTCGTGCTTTTAATGAAGGATGTGTTAACCCTGTGCAATACTGAAGTAGAAGCGCAAAATATGGTTTATATTATATATATATATATATATATATCACATTGCATGTTATTAGTTGCAAAACTAGCATCAAAATTCATACAAAACTGTTTGAAGTTACTATTTGAAGAACTATATAAACACATTTTGAAACTGCTAAGCTTGTGTTAATGTTATATTCAGTGCGGGATTAACACATACGACACCTAGGGCCCCGGCCATACAGGAGCTCCATTGGCCACCCAAATAATTATAAATAAATAAAAAAATGGTTCGTAAAACTAGCACAATAGAGGCAAGAGTGAGTTGTTTTTTATCATTATTATTATTCTCAAATATTACCTGGGACTAGGGCCCCACTAAACCATAATCCGGTATTGGTTATATTTAATGCATAAAACCCTTAAAATGTGTACCTGCGTACTTCGAAAACATCATTCTTTGCTAAAGCTCAATGAAATTTAAAAGTTTGATAATTGCGGCTTGAATATCATTACTATATTTCGAAGAACATCAATAAGATGTATTTTAAAGCTGCCTTAAGAAGAAGAATGGTTTTGTTTCGTAGGTAGCCTCATGATAAAGATGAATGTCAGCTTGAGACACAGTGGGAACAGTGAAGTTTTTTTCCTTCTTATTTATCGTATAAAAAAATCATAAATGTGATATTTCAAGGGACCTTCAAGTTTCAATGCAGACAAATATATCTTCAATTCTAGGAAATTATCCCAATTTCATGATTATGACGAATGACAGTATAATAATATGATACATCAATACGAAGAGTTCTGACCTAATAAATCCATTTCTTTCAGATACCCGATGAAGTTCCAGCTTTAACTGTCTGGGATTACGTTTCTCTTTCATCCGCTGGAGTTTGAACTTTGGCATTGATGTTGGTGCTAGAATAAAAAAGAAAATATTGTAGTAAAACTAACAATGTTTATACAGTAAGTATGATGATCATTAGGAAAAAAAAACACACAAGAATATTGAGGTTATTTTTCCAATAAGAACAGATAGTCCAGGGAATGAGACACTGATCTCTGCGAATTGAATTAATAAGCAAACCAAACCAGCACGAACGGAAGTCGAACTTATATAATCCTCTTACATTTCCATAATTTTCAGGATTCTTTAGTTCTCGTATTATGTTTGGTCTGACTCTGTCGTAATGACTACGAAGGTTTTGAAAATAATTGTTGTTGCTTCTACAGATTATATGAATATAATTTTGGTATTTTTCTTGGAACTGAAAACATACACAGGGCAAAAAACGTTAATAGTAATATTTTAGTATAGCTGATACTCTGTGAACAACAACAAGAACGAACACTTCTATTAATTGTACAGAAACGCGTATACTTCCCGTGTGCAAGAATACTAAATATTTACAGTGACTGAAATATGCACAAACAACTTAGTTCAATTATAAAAAGGTAGGATAACTTGTGACATAATTATAAAATTGGAAACTATTTCTCCTCTTTAAGATTCGAGAAATGGGACCGAAAGCCACCTGGAGGAGTCACCTGTTTTGTTTGTTTGTAATTAAGCACAAAGTTACACGATGGGCTATCTGTGGTCTGCCCACCACGGGTATCGAAACCCGGTTTCTAGCGTTGTAAGTCCGCAGACATACCGCTGTGCTATTGGGGAGCGTCACCTGTTTTAACCATTTGCACCACTATGCAGTAGTGTATTGTCTGTCAGTCAGTAGGTAGACACTAAAATGGCGCTACATAAGGGACGCTAAACGTTGCAATTTATACTTTCGTGATGTCAATAAAATGTGCGCATGCGATGAAGCACGAGAACAGCAAGAAATAAAAATATTTGTTACTCTTAATTTTGATTTTATTTAATCTTGAAACAGAACACCTTCGGGGAACCTGCGAAAAAGTACATTTAATATATGCCGTAGATTTTTTCCAGCTTGTCTCTCTAGGGTACACTTTTAGTCATTTATCATATTGTGTTAAATTACTTGAGAAATTTTCAATCAATGTAGTAAAAACATGCAGACATGCACACACTACAATAATCATTTGTTTTCGCCAGAAATAGATGGATACTTAAAAGATTGAAAAAAATTGAACGTTAAGCAAAAAACAGAAACAAGTAATGAATTAAAACAGAGAATATGGGTATACATACTTGTAGCTAAAAATTAAGTAGCCTAATTTTCATTCAAATGTTTTAAGAATCAAACGATTTTTTAGCTTACCACTAGGTGGTGACAAACACATTGTTTTTGTCGTCAGCATGCTCAAAGGTCCACAACCAGATCGATTTTTTGTGCAAATCCGGACGGTGTAATTCGTATTGGGCTTGACAATACTTTTAAACTCTGATATACCTGCCTTAACTTCACGTGCTTCTGCAAATCTGTCTACTACATTTTCTCCGCTGGTGGTTCGGTAGTGAGCTGAAGCTTCAAGTGTGATCTATTAGTGAGAAGCAACGGAACAATATGAGGGGTGTTTGGAAAGCAATAACCTCTCCAATTTCATTTTCTTTTGTTAGGCAGTATTTTCCTTCTTGTCCTATCTGATTGAAGTTTGTTTGTTTATAGTTAAGCACCAAGTTACATAAAGGGCTATCTGTGCTCTGCCCACCACGGGTATCGAAACCCGGATTCAAGTGTTGTAAGTCCGCAGACATACCGCTGTGCCATCTGATTCAACTAAATCTCTCTATAGTAAACATCACTTAAATGTAAAGAGCTAAATATAGAAACAACCAATATACAAGTGAAAAAAATATTCAGCGTCCCAATCTTTCGTTTGTACCTTTTCATCATTTTATTTTCAGTGATAACTGTGGTTCTATATGCCACTACATACCTGAAACGTTTGGTAATAAATGTTTCACACTCTGGAAGTTGGTCGTATTTTACTGATGTGTTACATGAATACTCTAGTGTGTACTACACGCGCGTTAACTTTATTCTGTTATATAAAATATTCTTCAGTAAAATATAACAACCACATACATACATTATAAAACTGAATAGTCCCTTGGGGGTTCGCAGGTGGCTCCCAAGTAACAAGGACGTAAGTGAGCTCTTTTTGAACGTCGTACAAACATTTTATTTCTACCTGCTCCGGTGGGTCGGCTACTAAAAAAACAAACACATAATGGGTATAAAGTCAAGTACGATAATAATTTTAAAACCTTTTACAGATCATATCAAACTTTTTTTTGTTCTTCTAAACTTTTCTAGTGTTTTAGAAACGTACACTGTTAACAAGTTATGTATTTTAGACATTAAAAAATAATAAATAATAACATAAAAAAGATGAAGAACAAGATCAAAATAAAGCAGATCTGTAATATTTTTATTATTTGAATTACACATATTTATACAATTTTAAATTCTTCTTAAGTATGAAACTTAGAAAAGGTTCCATAAATGAACAACAGTTGAGGATTTACCAGGCTTATTTTTTATTTATCAACTTTAGTCGAAAATTTATTGTTATCGTTTATTTGTTCAAAATTGTAATTAATAAATAAAAATCAAACGTACCTCACGTGTAAAATTAATGGTCGCGAGACTGGAGAATGTTCAACTTTTAATTATTCTTGTAATTATGCTATAGATTGAATAACTCTTTTCGTTATCGTTTATAAAATATAAGTTGTCCAAGTACTGATTGTAGGAATAAAAAAATCGATAATATATTGAGCAATGTTATCTAATTTTCTTAATTCTAAGAATAATATTGAATCTTCGAGGAAAAATTTAGTTATTATTTTTATATTCGATATGTAGCCAATAAATATATGTACAGAATGTTATATAACCGTCCAAGACACATGTAAGAAGGTAATTTTCTTCTCTATCACGCTTTAATAAGTTTTTTTATTTTATTTTTTTGATTGATGGTATACTATAGACTTTACTTCAAGTTATGCATGCAGTATGTCGTGAAGAAAAAATATAAACCAGAATCGGAACATGGCTTTTAATATTCAGAAACAACTTGTGGGATACTCAGAACGAAGAAATAAATGAGTTCAAACTATTTCGTTTTGAGAGTTTCCTTTTATAAAGCTATTAAAGTAAAACATGTTTAGATAGCAAATAATATGTCAACGCATTTATCAACCGAAAGCAAGTGTGGTTTCACTGTTTATCAAACACATATATTTTTACGATATTTTACCCAATATCACTTAATGAAGGTGTGTTTTGTTGGGCCAGTTTGGAAACTGTGGGCTGTATAAATATAGTTACTTCTTTTCTTTGGCGTGTTGCTTTATAGTCTAACGTAACTACCGCCATTTTAAGGCGATCCGTTTGATTAAGTTAACAAAGGAAGAATAAAAAAAACCTGTTCGTTCTAGGCAGAACAGCGATAAGAGATATTTGGACAGGGAACGGTCACCACAGAAACAGCGTGCTAAAACCGCAAATTTATAGCTGTGTCAGGAGCTGTCAACAGCGATGATTAATATGATTTTTTCCTGAAACATTTCACTCTTCTTCCCTCCCTTGTCTCTCGTCAATAAAGGCTTTCCAGCTGTCAATTTTTGGCGGCAGGAAAAGGACTGATTATCAACTACTAATTATAGAGTTTATATTTTCATATACTGAACAATATAAAATAACTTACTTCCGTCCGATGTTCCCGCTTGCATTGGTTCAGACCAATTTCCACAGCCAATAACACTGCATGCCTTCACCTAGACATAAAATAACTTCATAGGTATTCAGCTTTTATTTTGTGTTACAATATACAATGTTATCAACTAGTAAAAGTTAAGTATCGATAAACGTAGAATAAAACGTTTGAATAAATTCGTAATAACATAAAACTAGGGACTATTTTATATATATCTACAGCAACTACAGTATATTTTACAAATGAGAGAATTCTTAAAACTGACATACTGAACGTTATTATAAGTCGCTCTAGTTATAAAACTTACAAAAGAGTCAGAATGTCATGATATTAAATACTGTTTAGTTTATATATTATTTATTCATTTTGTGAGTCAATATTTTATTATTATTTAGTGTTTGTTAAAAAAAGAGTTAAAAGCAGACAATTGTAGGAAGTTGTGTTTATAATTCATTGATGTTGAGACTATCGAATGTCGCGTGCAATACATTGACGACGAGAATATAGACGATTAAGTGATAGAGATATAAATAGTGTGAGACCAGCGGAAAGAGCAGACAGACAATGGAAGAAGAGAGTAAAGTTACGAGCAAAAAAAAGTTCAGCGTGAAGTTAACTACCATAGAAATGATAGACTAACGATTAACATAGTCCTAACGTTTGATGTGTTAGAGTAAGACTAATAGTAGAAAAGGAGATAAGAAGAATAACTTATTCTGTCAAAGCGTGGTTCTAAAGTAATTGAATTAGCCTGAGTGCATTTTGACAAAAGAAACATAGGATATTTCGAAGAAAGAAGACCAAACCATTACGGTAACTCGCGCCACAATTGTAAGTAAATCACACATGGAATACTAGTGCGATAGTAATAGAGTAGATAGTCAACTGAAATTCTAAAGTAACTGAATAGGCCTAAGTGGACTTTTGACAAGAAGAAGAGAATATTATATTATATATATATATATATATATATACAG